GGGATTGCTCTTTGCCCTGTGTAATGGAGTCTGTATGCTCCCAGGTGAAGACACAGGCTGCTCACTGAGGGAGGGGACCAGCTGGTAGGCAGCGGCCCAGATCCCCACCAGCCCGACAGGGACTCCACCCGCTCACCTTCACCAAACCATCCAGAGCAGTTCTTCAATTATTCTCTGATCTACTCTGAGAAACAAGCCTTTCCTTCCTCGCTGCACAGTCCTCGTTCCCCAGGGCTGCCTACCTCCAGGGTCAGAGGCCTCCACAGTGGTGACCTGATGCTCTTCAACCCAAACTCTCAAGATTTAGGGATACCTGAAATAAAAGGGCTAATTGTGCTCACGGAAGGAAAGGACCAGTTCCTGGGACAAGTTCCTTCCACTCCCAGCAGCCGGGCCAGAAAGCAATTGGAAATACATCCATGGGCCTAGAGCTAGGAGCGTTTTATAATGAAAATGTGGGCAAGGCAGCTAGAGGTCAGATGGGACCCTGCGCAGTGCTTCTACACTGTCGCCAGTGTGTGTGGTGGGAACAGGAAGTGGGGAAAGCTTTGGGGCAGAAGGGTAGACCACAGGGACAAGTGCTCCCCCTTCCCACCCATTGGAGCTTATCAGGAGGAGCAGGCCCGGAAGGCTACCTGGGTTGGAGTAGAGGTTCTAACACTCAGGAACGTGGAGGGTGTTGGTTTGGCCCAGGGCTGTGGCAGATCAACCTTCCTATCTCCCCTCCCCACATCCTCCAGCTCTTTCAATTACATTTAGGACATCCTACATTTTTCTTTTACCAACATAAAATATATTTAAATGGGTGTTGGCAGCCTGACAATCACATTTGGTTAATGAGTTAAAGAAGAGTATGTTGGGTAGGGGGAGATCATCACCATCTGCTCTCTCCCCATCGTCTTAAAGGCAGAAAAGAATCCTGCTGTGTGGCCGAACCAAGGCCAATGAGGAAGGAGCTTGGGTCCTGGGTTCTGCTAGACTCGAGAACCCTTGGGATCCTTGACCACTTTATCCCCAGCAACCACCAGTGGTTGAGGTTCAAATATTTGCCTGAGTAAATTAATGAGACAGACTGGAGAAATTAAATTCTTTTTTCTTTTTTCTTTTTTTAGGGCTGCTACCAAAAAAAAAAAAAAAATCTAGCTGCTATCTAGTTTTCCAGGTCTGTGAGCTAAGAATAGCTTTTCTGCTTAAAAATGGTTTCAAAAACCAATAGAGGGCTGGGGCTATAGCTCAGTTGGTAGAGTGCTTGCCTTGCATGCACAAGGCCCTGGGTTCAATCCCCAGCACCACAAAACAACAATAACAAAAAACAATAGAAAACTGTAATTGTTTATGATGGAAAATTATATGAAATTCAATGCCCACATATCAAATCCACATAAAGTTCAACTGAACTAGGGCCATGTCCACTTACGGCATCAGAATCAGGTAGCTACAAGAGAAACCATGTGGCCCACAGAGTCCAGAATATTTTCWAGTTGGTCCTGTGCAGAAAATTTCTCTTCCCTGTCTTCTAGGGTTAGCACTGAGCTGGCTGATGTCATCTGGCAGTGGTCCCTGATCCTTTCCCTGTGGGAACTGCCCAGTAATGGCCAATGGTTTAACCTTAACCCAAAGAAAACCCATTARTCAACCACCTCCTTCACGTCGCTATTCCCACTTCTCAGACACAGGGCTGAAGACTTACAATATGGACATAGACTGCCACCTGTCTTAGGTTGGTGAAGCCTCCAAAGCAGACTGCAGTTCTGGGAACCACCTGCAACTTACCTGTCAGCAGGTGGCAACAAGTGTGCAAGAGCAGGCACTTTATGTTGGAGAATTCATGTTGTGCACTGGTCAGAGGTCACTTAGGCCTTGGGGTTCTCAGTCTTCTGAAGTCACCTGCCCCTTGCAGGGAAACCTGCGTCCTCGGTGAAAAGCTTGTCTGACAACCATCAGAGCAGGCTGAATCTGAAGAGCAGATCCCTGAAGATACTTGACTGTAAACCTGATCAGAGAGGCACAGTCACGGGCCAGGACTTGCCAAGGGCCACAAGTCAAGACTGAATGGAAATTATTATTAGAAATAATTTCTAAAAAACTTTAGTCACTTAACCTGGATCTGGCCTCTATTCACCATAATTAAATGATGCTCTAATTATCATTCAAGGAAATTTAATTATAATAAAAAATGTCCTGGTGAGATCATGGGTGATGTGGTTCTTGCTTGGCTAGAGTTTGCAATCAAAATGATGAGGTGAGAGTGAAAGTTGTACCCAAGGAAAAGCATTTGATGTTTCTCAGATGTATACCTAATTTCCAAAGTTCATTGTCATTGAATTTTACAATTTAGGACCGCTCTCCAGTGAGCCCATCTCTTGAAGTGGCCGCCATGTTGAGAAGAATGAAGTTCAGTGGTCCAAGGGTACAGTGGTGTCATTGGCCAGAGCTTTTATAAGCTTCTTGGGGAGGTGGCTAAGGTGCAGGTCACAGATGGCACTGGGTAGGGGGAACTCACTTTTGTTTTGTCCGTAAGTCACTGAGTCAAACTGTCCTGTGGCCACATCAGGCCATTCTGACAAGCTGTTGCCAGAAAATAAAGGAGCCACAGGTTGATTGTCGAGGCACATCTTTTCCCTCCAAAACCTTGAGAAGATCCTACATCAGCCAGATCAAGTAAACGTCCACATCTTATTTTCTACATGAATGATAAAATGAACCCTTGCTTGGCTTTGAGGTGAACCACTGGCAAGTGCTACAGTGGCTCTTGAGGGTTGGGTCCCTGCAATCAGGCAGGTGCTGGGTTCTGGTGCAGAAGCAAGCTTAGCTTCATACGGAGGGCACATCACTTTCACCTCTGGGATTCTGTTTTCAAATTCTTGAAGAAACAGGAAAGTATGTGAATCCAGATTGTCCCCTTAGCCTTTGGGCTGATAGGCTAAGAAGGTTTCTCCCTTGCCAACTCTGTCCTACCCCACAACATGCAACAGATAATCGATGGGACTGGCCCCAGTCACCTTCAGGCCCACTAGAACCCGCTCTTTTCTGAATCTTTCCATACTCTTGCTCTTACTTTATACTTTCAACTTATATTATTTTTATCATTTTATGGATCCTTCTAACATGCAATTGTCTTGTGCACAGATTATCTGTTCCCTAGCCACATCATTTATTTCCAATCCCTTCCCCCTTTGTCTTTTATCCCTTTTCTGATTTTTCCAATTATGTCCTAACCCTCAGGGACACACGAGACCCAACACTGGGTTGTTATAATGAATATCTTTGGCAACCAGGCCAAGGGTTTCACTGGCATCTTTCAGATCATGAAAATAGCGTCCATCCTGTGTGCAACTGGCCCACTCCCTGCCCCGCCCTGGCACAACAGACGGGTGGCCTCTGGCCCCCCACCCCCAGCCCCTTGAGCAGGAGCAGTTCCTCTGGCTGAGGGCCTTCGCACCAGGCCTGAGGAAGCCCCTGCAGAAACAGATTCCTTCATTCAGCAGCTGTTTCTGTCAAGCCAGGCACTGTGTGGCTCTGGACCCATGCATGTCCCTTCCTTGCCCCAAGGGAAGCCAGGCAGCTGGAGTCAGCACCACGCCAGGAAACAGCCTGGCAAGRAGGAGTGTGAGGCCAAACCGGCTCCTCCCCAGCGGTGCAAGCGGCTGGGGAAGGAGCGAGGACAGTGTGCGGGTGGGGGGTGCAGAACTGAAACGGCACTAGATTCCTCAAGCACACCCCGTGAGCTGGCACACTGCTGACCACCCAGACGGGCAACATTGTCTGAAATGACAGGCCACCCTGGCCTTGGGGCAGATCCAAATATCAACTTAGAGACTGAAAACCACCACCAGGCAACAGAGCATCCATCTGCCCAGCCAGATGAGCCTGGGACACCCTTGACCCCAGGGAAATGACGATGATGTCAGAAGTTCCCACAGCAGGAAGAGAACCTAGGGATCAGAGGAAGAGTCACGCGGGATACAGCCATGACTTTCTGGAATCTGATAGAAATAAAACGTGTACTATGTTAGCAGGAAGAGGGAACCATGAGCTCTACTTAAAAACGCCATCTGTCAGAACYGAGTGCCACAGCCGATGCAGCCAGGAAATACTTCCTCTTGCCTGGGAACTAGGCAGCCTCGCTGCGTCTGTTCAGGGGGACTGACTGCCCAATCTCAGCACACGAGAGGTCCCAGGGGATTGCTAGGACAGAATGATAATCACCCAGCCAACCAAACTGCTAGTGGGTCCCAAGAACAGAGCCTTGTGCTAGAGGCTGTGAAGGATGCATAGCATGATAGCACATAGAAAATGTCACTGTCACACATGGGCACGTGTATGTACGCATGTACACGGACACACAGTCTAACATGGGCTCCGCGGGTACCATTCTCTTGGTTGGTCGTATTTGGTCACTGTCTGGATTCCCATGGAGACACGGCAGTGAGAAAGCACCCCTCCTTGCAATCCCCTGTTGAACACCAAGCAGCCAGGCAGGTCTCACACCATCTGCCATCATACACTCAAGAGCATTGCCACCCGGTCAACATGGCACTGTCCTGCAGGAAACTGGGAGGCGTCAAGTGAGTTCTAACACAAACRCAGGTACTTAGACTAAACCTGGTGTAGACATGAGCTCTGATTTTCAGGTAGATAAACATTTACCTTTTTACAACTAGGAGACTAAGGGCGAACCAGCCACTGCCTTCTAAAAGATAAAGTGGTCAGGAATTCTCAAATCCTGGTCAAGAGATACAACAGTTGGTTGTCGAGTGAAGACCATTTGGGTTGCAGTAGTCAACTAGTGCTGTCTCCCGACACACACAGGCCCCCTGTGACACAGCTAATAGAAGGTATWTGCACACAGGACTCATGTTTACCATCTGTCCCAAAAAAGTTACCAATAATCTGTACACTTGCAGCAAAATGTGAACAAATATATTCAGATATATTTAAAAGAATTAAAAAAACATTTCACAAAACATTTGTTGCCATAGGAATTATTTTTAGCCACATCAAAATTTAAACATTGTTCCAAGTATGATTATCTGTACTAAGTTATGCAACAAATTATGTAAACAGAGTCGGATACATTTCCCTGTAGGAGTCACCTTCTTCCTGGGTTTGGAGCTGAGACATTTTTTCCAGGGTACCAATTAAGAAACTGCTATTTTTCAGAGCAACAAAAATAAAAGCTTTTATTTGTTCATTTGAATATAAAACAGGCGTTATCACAGATGTACAAAGCGTACTGGTGGTTGAACATACAAGAAGGTTGCTGTCCTTTGCACATAAAAATTTTGTTTGAAACTGTGATTGGTCGAGTACATGAATTTCTCTAACCAGTCACCACACTCTGAAATAACGCTGCTAACATTCAACTGATGAAAGGGACCATTTCCCTTGGGTAAAGTGTCAAGCAGGATTAAATATATATAATAAACAAGCACCATGAGGAATCTGCTCCTGTTTGATTCGGTCTGTGTTTAAACGTTCACTGTGTACCCTCTTTTTGTGCAAGTTGATTACACGATTTTGGCTGACTTCAAAAGCACAAGGTCACAAGACAAACATTTTTTTTTTTACATTCTCATGAATGATTTATCTACAGTACAATTTCTAATACAGAACGATCCTTCTTTATTGCTGAAACTGGTGGTACTTAAGTGTCTCCTTTCCTTTCTCTTGCACAAACTTCGATTCCAGTCCACCAACTCTTTGAACCTAAGCCTAACATCAGAGATGACAGGATGCAGAAAAGACCTGCTATTAACTGCTTTGCAACTGCACTGCAGTGTTCGCCCTCCTTGGATGGAAAGTTGATATGGTGAAAGTTAAAATGATCTTGGAAGTGACATCTAAATTTGCTTTGCTTCCTGACATCAGCTTGCAAGTTTYCCTGCACACTACAATTATGTTTCGTAATCAGCATCCTGACTGAAACCTTAAACCCATTCCCCTTAACATCTTTGTGTAAGCAAATGTCTGTTTCTGTATGTGGCGGGTGTTCCCCCCCCCAGGAAGCAGAAGGCTAGGAATGTGCATCTGAAGCATGTGGAGAGACTCGTATGGCAATGAACAAACGGTATTTTAAAATCCAAATGATTGGTGTAGATGGAAGGGTGCTCCATATATGCAGGCAAAACATTTTTTAAAAAAGTGCCACTTAGAATCTTTTTAAGCAATCAGCCTTGGATCTCAGAAGTCAAACAAAACTCTCTTTTAGCAAAGGGCTTACTGYTGGCTGCAGATAATGATGGCAAAGACAATGCCTACGATTAAAAAAAAATCTAAATTTGCCCAGTAACAATCTTAGTCATGCATATCTAGTACTGACAGCCACTGCAGCATCATATTGGGGCAATTATAAAATAAATCCATCTTGGATTGCTGATGCGTCCTTCTTGGATACAGACAGGCCAATTCAAMTTAGAATGCACAGAGGAGCTCTGCAGACAGGTGTGTGAGGCAGCAACAGCAGAGACAGAAACCAGGGACGTTCTCCTCCACGGTGGCACAGGGATGATTTCTTGCTTCAGCCAGAGCTCTGTTATGAGTCCCCAGGGGGCTTGCTCAGGGCCGAGCTAGGAAACTCAAGAGACCACAGACTTGGCTGGGTCTTCAGATAAGGGGACATCACCTATGTSTCTCTCCCCTTAAGCCATTCTGGACATTCTCACACAGTGGCCATCTAGGGGTGGGGGTGAGGGGGTCAATGCAACCCAGGACAAATGACCACAGGATAGCATTTCTTTTCATACCAAGGACCAAAAAAGGTGACACTAACGAAAAGGCTGAAAAACATTGTGCAACGGATTCTGGCAGCTAAGAGAACAGTGCAACTGGCCAGCTAGAGCCCCTGGGGTTGGCACACGCTGGCCAAAATGCACTCACTGTCGTCCCCACAGCAAAGGAAAAAAGTAGTGCACGTTTAGCGTGAGAGTCCTTCACCGTCTCGGAGATGGCAACGGTCCCGCTYGCTGGTCCTGATCTTAGGAGGAACCGAGACAGGGCTGCTGGCCATCTGTGACTGCTTGCGACAGCGGTGGACGTGGACACAGCAGAGGGCGCTCCATGCAAGCTGACGAGTTCTGCATTTAAACTTTAAAATCTCCTTTTTTCATTAGTGAATTTATATTTCATATATATATATTTGTTGTGATACTATCCACGCAAGATAATACAACACTTTTTTATATTAGCAAACATTACAAGACTTTAATATTCTTGAATGTTTTTCTCTTTTATACTTCTAAAGAGATCAAAATAAATTAAACATTTTGTACATAATTACATATTGAGGAAGTTAACTTATTTTTATCTTTTTAGTTTAGTACAAAGATATTTGCAAGATAATTGCCGAAATACACCTTATTTATAATTTCTTCTCATTCTATGCTAACTTCAAAGGCCATAAGTTGGCCTTTGTTTCTTCAGCACATTTCTGACAAAGAAAGCTGCTAAAATCTAATTGGAAGGTGCTATCTGGAAGGTTTTCTCGTACCTCAATGAACGTTCCAGAAGGGTGAGATCTAGCAATGGCTTAACTTAGTAACAGATCCATGTCAGTAAGATTCCATGACACATTAAAAAACAGAGAAAACAATTCTTTGTCACACTACATAAATCGTTTAAAAGAACCCATCTGGAGGGCAGGATATTTTTTTAATTGCTATTTCGGCTTAACAAAATACCACATTTACGAAGAAAGCACTTATTATCCAATAATTAAAAAAAAAAAAGAAAGTAAAAGTTTTTGAAATGAGCTTTTCCAACAAACTGAAGGCAAATCCAAAGTCCTTCTGAGCAAAATTCAGCGATAAATTCACATTTCATCTCCATGCCAGGGTGACTGCTGCAACAAGTCCTCCTCCCCCTCCCGTCCCGCCACGCCAGGCTGCATTCTGGCGCATGTGGCCCTCGTGTCTGCACGCTTCAGTGGACACTGAGAAAAATGTTCACACCCCCTAGGACAGTCCGAGGAAGCAGAGCGGCGAGGCTACATGTTGTAGGCCACGTAGATGGGGTCCAGCTGGTCTGCTAAGAACCCGTCCCGCAGGTGCATGCGCTGCTTCTCCCCGCGGGAGTTGATGGGGATGACCCCGATGTCCACCACGACCACCACGCCCACGATCAGGTAGTGCTCCTCCAGGACTACGTTGGTCACCAGCGGAACCAGGTCCAGGGCCTCCTGCTCTGACCCGTCCAGCTCGACCACCACCACCAGCAAGTTCGTCCAGGTGAACACGGCACTGGAAGACAAAGGGAAGCAGCGTCATTGGTGATGTTTTTGTCTAATGGCCAGGCATTCTTTTCCAGAAGTTCCATCTGGTTTTGCTCAGGTCTGCCTGAGCCCTTGGACTGAGACATCTCCTCCAGCTGGCTCGTCCCTCCAGGTCCATCCTCCTGTTGCTCATTAGACATTTCACCCCCCCCACCCCCGCAACTAAGCGTCCATACTTTCCACTAGCCATCTCCCCTGGTGGCTTTGGAGAGAGTTCCCTGGTCATTGTGCACCTACCTCTATGGCACAGGGGTCACCTCCTCAGAGGAGCCTGTCTTCCAGTTCTGCCTCCCCCTGGTGACAGTAGGACCAGACCCCATCCCGGAGTGCACTAGGCCACTTGGATCTGCCCTCAGGGCAAACCTGCATCTTGGTTCCCAGCCTGGGCGCTGCTACTGAGTCCTGCCCACCAGCTGTTCCCTGACTCTGACACGTGCGCCCAGGCGGGGCTCCTGTGCAATCTGGTCCATGTGTGAGAGCCACCAGCAGAGGCTCAGGGAGGACTGGGGTATTGGGATTTGTCCTGACAGACTGTGGCTACTGTTGGGACAGGGATGTGCCTGAGCTGGCCCCAGAGGACAAGGACATGTGGAGAAGAGCGACTGGCCCCAAGTTCACATGACACTTTCCAGCTGACCTGGCTGACCCCTGCAGACACAGGTGATCTGTCTGGAGAATGAGTTTGAGATGACGGCAATGCAGCTAAAGCACCGAGCGGGGTAGCTAGTCACCTTTCTGTGGCATGGAGCCGTTCCAGCTGGTGGGAGCATAAACCCAGAGTTTACATTTTAAGCCACATTAACCTGGTGAAGTTGGCTTTTAGAACTGGTTGTTTAAGGGTCTGATGTTCACGGGCCTATGTATAAGTTCTGCTTGGCGGTGGAGGTGGAGGTTCCTGGGCAGTGGGAGCAACATGGAGAAAAGGACCAAGCCCCAGGTTTCCTGGGGTATGGGGCGGGGGCAGGAAGGACTGGACCAGGCTCCAAAAGGTTCTTGGGTAGAGGGCTTCTTGGAGAAGGCTCCCTTCTGTTCCATACATCTCACCCAGCTTGGGGCAGGATGTATCTTGAGAAACTCACTGTTGTTTAAGCGTAAGAGTCAGTGTGCTAGAAAACAGCACATTTTGTTGAGTGCGGCCAATGCAGATGCCCACATGAAAGGGACAATCAGTGAGCTCAACCTGTCTCACTGTGGCTACTGCATCCCTAGGAGGACAATCAGGCTGAGAACCTTTTCCAAGAAGGACCAGAATCTAATTCTCTTAATTTGGCTGTGATATTAAAATATTGTTCCACACAGGCCTGCATTGTGAACGTGACACCAAAAATTATATCCACCTCTCAGGCACTTTGGGTTTCATTTTGTGACATTTGAAGTTGATGGCATGGTCCTGAGGTCCCAGCAATAGGCCCAGCTTTGCACATTTGGTGGAGTAGGCCAAGGGTGAACAATGCGTTGCTGTCCCTGGGTGTTTGCCAGGAAGCCATGGAGGGGAGCGAGAAGACCTGCTTCCGTGGGAGCTTTCCTGGGAGGTGCTCTTTTCACACTGGTGAGGAATGAGCTTGCCGGGTTGGCTTAAACTCAGCAACATGGAAACGGTCCTGCTCTATGACATGGGTTTCTAGCTGTGAGGCAACCAGTGGGTGAGCTGGGAGGAGAAGCACTGGAAAGGCCTGGGGGACAGKGAGGCGTGGGGGCAGTTTATGCCTGAAGAGTTTCCAACACGTTCAAAGTCCATCCAAATGAAACCACTCATTTGTTTTTCTTTTGTCCTGACCCTCTGTGTGCACAGAGGAGTAGGAGGTCCTGTCTTGATCAGGTGAGTGACAATTGTAGGTCAGTGGCCCCACAGCAAGGAAGAGGGATGCTTAGGATAACATCAGAAGTCCTGGGCCAGGAACCCACAGGAGCACCWCGGAGGCCCCTGGACATGCCTTTAAGCTGGAACCAACCCAGAAATGCTTGAGGGAGATGATAAAAGCCAATTAAAACTATTTTCTTAGAACTGTAGAAACAGAGAGCTGGAACTGGTATTTCAGTTACTAAGGTAGACAATGAAGTACGGCCTGGGCTGGTATCTGGGCTGAAGTCCTTCTAGGTTTCTAGTATTTCCTTGGTCTATGTCCTCTCCCCACACTGGGTAAAGAGGCAACCCTGAACGCTTGAGGAGTTTCTTGGGACCGAGTAGGGACAAAGCCAATGTGGACCATAGGTCAGTTTCCAGGAATGCAAACCCCACTGTGAGCAGTGCCAAGTACTCAATATGCCAACTCAGCCTGCTCCTGCAGATCAATTAGCTCACAGAGGAACCGACAACCTCAGAAGCAACAGAGAGACACGTGGGAATTCCAGCCTGTGCTCCCCTTGCTGGGTCTCATCAGGCAATTTGCCAGGTGAGGACAAGGTGCCTTGAGTTAGCACCTCATGGATAACTGAGTCACTTCTTGTTCATGAATTGATAYCACTGGCTTAACGCACAGGCCTCTCCCAAACACTGCCGCAGCATGAGCACGTGGCTGTAAACCGCCTGCTGTTTCCACAAAGCACCCTGAACACACGCAGCACTTTACCCCGGACTCAATGTGCCTATGAGGAGGWGGTGGCACTTCCGGGAGGATGAGAACTCAGAAGGTGGGGGACTCCTGTCTTCAGCGTTGGTTTAATTTAAGCCACCTTCCCTTTGTCAACAGCTCTAGTGCAGCATGGTCACAGGTCCCTCTTAAGTTTTCTGTGGAGCACGTTGCTGCTCAGGGTTCCCAAGTCAACAGCACAGGGCCTTTCCTGAACGTGTGTGTGTGTGCAATTTAAGTTTTTCCTGTACCTTTCTTTCATAAATTTAAAAAAAAAACAAGTAACCTCTTGGCTTTCTGGAGAACATCTCTCATTTTCAAGTAACACAGGACACCCATCTCTGTGGGACAAGCACTGTGCTGCTGACTCCAAGGACAAAGGCTCACCGTGACCTTGGTGCAGGTGGCCCCTGCTGGTCTCCTGGAAGCTCTCCATCGTGCTGCCACCTTCCACTGCTCCACAGATGTGGCCCTGGGGTGCATACGAACGCTGGGTCCCCCCCACTTACCATTCTGTGACGCTTTTATGGGCTCTGATGACGGAGGTCTCGATGTCAATGGGGTGGTACCGCATTCCCCGCAGCTCCATGGCTTCGTCTAGCGCTCCCACCACGTACAAGGCGTCGTGGCGCTCTGGAAAGGAAACGGCGGGTGAGCCTCGGCACAAATTTCCTTTTAAAGCTAAGAACTTTCCTCCAAGTGCGACAGATGCAAAGAAAGGGGGACACTTATCTAGAGATGACCAGCTCTGCTCTACCAGAAAGCTCTGCAGAGACGGCTGCTGCAGGCCGAGGTGCCCCTGGGAAGTCCCTCTCCCCTAAGGCTACGCACAGCCACTGGGGTCCTCTGTCTGTTGCCCATCCTGATCTGAGTCTACCCATGGGGAGAAGCTGGCCTCCTCCTGGGTCAGTTTCCATACAGGATCAAGTATACAGCTGCATCCTCATCCTAAAGGACCAAGGTCAGCACTAGTCACCACTTGACCTGCTGAGCTGGACCCAAGTGCCGAGTATGCAAGGGGTTCACCTGCCCAGGACACACGGGGCATGGCACAGCCACTGTCCACCAGGTTCCCTTCGACTCTGAGAGTTCACTGTGCTAACATGCGAAGTGGGGAAAGAAAGTGTGGCTCTGGGTGATGGTCATGAAGGAAGACTTGCTTAGCTCTGGTGGCCACAAACTTTAGTTCCCTCCTCTACACAAACCCTAAGAGTGAGGGCAATGAAACACGGCCTCCTCTTCCCTCAAGAACAGAAACACCTTTCATTTTACGCTGGGTGGTAAGCCTACCAGGGCAAACTGGAAAGAAATGATTGACATAAAACATACACAACAGCACCAGAATGGACCCCTTCTCTAATCTAAGCCAGAGAAGCAAAGAGGGGCAGTCTCCTGCTCAGGGTGGAGCTCCATCTCCCCTGTTGAGGTGAGGTGTCACATCACCTTCTGGAGATCAAGGAGGTGAGAACAGCAGCATGTCCTACTGTCCCTGGGGGTCAGCAGGACGGAGCCTCCTAGTCTTCCTTGGGAGTATAAATTGCTGACACCTTGGACCTCTGAATTCAGCTCTTGGCAATATCCCCACATGATGCACTCAAATAAACTAGCCCGCAAGTGCCCAGGATGTGAATGTCAGGCCAGAACATTCTGATGCAGCCCCCGGGGGCCAGGGCAGGACAGGTTTGTCAGGAGACTTGGGAGGCTGCACTGATGTCACCTGCCTGGGATTTTGGTAAGGTAGCATCTCACCAAGAATCTGGCTACTGTCCTTGTCCAAGTCTCTAACTCCTGCCACTATTTTTAGCAAAACTAAGAAAGCGAGATCGGTCTCTAGACTCAGCAAAGAACAGAAGAAGCAAACACTTTCTGTTGTGGCTTCCGTGCTAGGGAGGAACCCAGGCCCTCACACAGGCTGGCAGGGGCTCTCCTCTGGGCTCCACCCACTCCTGAGAGCTTACAGCTTGGCCTGACACAACACCCCCGTTTCCAGCCCTGTGCTCTGTAGTGCAGAAAGCCTCAGGGCAGAGCCCAGGCAGGGCACCTGTTGGGTCCCAGTTTGCTTCAGGGGAGCCCTACGGAGTGGGCAGCCCTTAGAACTGACAAGAGGCAGAAGCTGCAGCTGGGACTTTGGGGCACTTTGATGGCCCAAGCCTAGCACCTGGCTTTTCTCTGGGTTTAAATCTGCTCTTGGTTCTCAGGGCACAGGGTGGGGCCCAGTTCAGCTTGCTGGACTCCTCTGCACTTGACCTCCCTTCCGGCTCTTCCAGGCTGGCTGCAGCCAGTCACCCACCCCCCTGGCTCTGGCTGTCCCAAACCTCAGACCTGTTTCTGTGTGGGGGAACCCGGCCCCCACCCAACACAAGGGGCCCAGGCTGACCTCCATTCGCATCCGTGAGCTCAGTCCTCCGCAGGAACCCCAGGTAGCCTGTTCGTGCCCAGATGGTCTGGGTGTCTCCAAAGCTCAGCCGAGAGTTGAAGTGATCAGACTGGAGGGATTCATCTCCATAGATGGTGAAATAACCACTGGCGTTGTGGGCGCTGTGCACCCAGATCTATGAACAGAGTGACAGGGCCACTGTGCGTGAGCCACCTYGAAACTGTGCGGGAGGAGGGGCCGAAACTGCTTTATGGTTTTGTAAGTTATATTCAGCAATACTAAAGTTTCCTCGGGCTGAAAAAATCAGATGTTCATCTCACCTAGATTTCTGGGGAGACACAGATGCCCACAGAGATGCAATGGAGACCCTGGTTGTACCAGGTTTATGGCCAGCTAGCAACCAACCTGTCCATCAGAAATTCCATTAAAGGTTAACTGATAATTTTGAAAACAGCATTTAAAGATAAATGTATCAAATGAACAGTGCCGCACTAGTTTCCCTGTACTTTTCTAAATGTAATGGTTGTTTACAAAGAGTGATGAGGAACACCTCTGAGGTTTGGCTCCTTTCACCTGATGGGCATACTTTTAGAAACACATTGTAATAAAACAATGCAACACCACGCCCCGGGGGAAAGGTAGGAAAGGGCAAAAGACTGCACACAGCTGGGKGCAGGGGCACATGCCCATAATCCCAGCAGCTCAGGAGGCTGAGGCAGGAGGATCTCGAGTTCAAAGCCATCCTGAGCAGCTTAGCAAAGCCCTGTCAACCCTGGGGACCCTCTCTAGGAGAGCCTGTCTTTAAATAAGACACAAAATGGGGCTGGGGATGTGGCTCAGTGGTTGAGTGAGTGCTCCTGAGTTCAATCTCTGATACCCAAACCAAAAACAAACAGGAAACAAAAACACTTCTGTCTGGCTCCAGAGACGGCCAGCAAAGGCTCCAAGGGATGATAGCTCTGACGGTGCAGAGACAGAAGCAGCAGCAGTGTGCCAGCAAACTGCAAAGGCCTCCCATGACACAGCGTCAGGGTCCCTCACACCATGCAGGGCTTGAGGCAGACATTCTGGGATTGGCTGCTTYATTATTTTATTTACTCTGAAAAATAGAGAAGCTCTTCAGAGTCAAAAACTTCGTCTGATTCACCACTGCATCCCTAGTGCCCATTACAGTGTTGGTCATAGCAGACAATAAGAACCTTCTGGAAAATGAAAAGTAAAACAAAAAGAAGGAACACCATCTGATGAAGCCAGGGGTAAACATGTGCTGTTCCCTAGTACCACACAAAATTCCCCCATGGAATACTATACATCCTTAAAAAGGGAATCCTGCCGTTTGTAACACACAGATGAATGTGGAGGACACCAAGCTAAGGGGAGTTAAGTCAGAGAAGAAAAACAACATGTGATCCCACTTATATATGGCACCTGAAAAGGTGATCTCATAGGTGCAGAGTAAAGGACAGTTGCTGGGGGCTGCAGGTGTGTGGGGAAATGTAAACTGCTTCGGCTTCGATAGTCACTTTACAGTATAGTATAGAACATCAAAGTTCACAAATAACACACTGCATGCCTGACAGCCTGTGGATTATACCTTGGTGGGGCTGGAAAACAGGAGATACTCTCCTGCAGATTTCACTATCCCTGGTCACAGTTCTGCCTTGGCCATAGCACAGGGCACTCAGGCCACCCCAGAGGCTGGTAGGGAGGGCAGCACCCTGGGGACCCTCTCCAGGAGGCCTGAGAAGGCACAATCTCCCTTCCAGATCCACCTCGAGGAACATGTTTAAAGAAAACTCCTAGTAAGAGCTGCCTGGATCGCCACCATCTCAGTTCTCAGTGATTGAAAGACTCTGATGACCCCAGATGAAAGATGAAAAGGAAGGTGGGCCGAGAACTGGTCAGGACCTGTTCACCAGCAATGTCTACCCATGGCAGGGCAGTGGGGGGGAGAGTGTTCCTAGGTGTGCCACTCCATCCTAGGGCTGGGGACACAGCTGGGGCAGGGAGGGGGGCTGGTGGGACTGCAGCAGAGAYGTCCCCGGCTGGCAACAGGGCACTGGCAGGTTTGGCCTTAGGCAGGACAGCAGGTGTGGAGCGGACRTGCTGGTCCGGGCATGGAGGCTGGGACATGGTGTGCTCTGTCCTCTTTCCCTCTCCCTCCTCAGTGGAGAGAGAGGACCAATGTGGGACACCCAGCGCCCCGCAGCCCTAGGGACTACTTGAGACCAGGGGTCAAGAATCCAGCTGGAGACTGGCAGCACAGGGAGGGGCTGCTTTCCAGCCAGCAGGATGGGGACAAAGCCGCAGAGGGCTGAGGGCCACCCAGAGAGGGATTCCTTCTGGACACAGTGACTGAGCTCTCTGATCTGGAGTGATATGTGAYTGCCAGTCCTCTGCTCCCTGGGTGCCACCTCTCACTGCTGTGATTCTGAGACTCCTCGGGGCTGTTCCCTGTCATTGGAGGGTCCTCAGCAATGCATGACACTGCCCCCACCCCGGGGAAAACAAATTCAAGAACTAAGAAGGGAGGAGACACCGCGGCATCCCGTAAGCTCTTTGCAGAGACTCAGTGGCTATTCCTAAGGGAATCCYGGTTTCCAACTCGGACCTTTCTGGAGTCCCCTAGGCAATACCACTATCTAGCACTGCTCCCCGGCCAGTCCCAGCGCAGACAGAGCATGTGCTGTGGTCCAGGGCCAGCGGGGCAGGTCCTCTGAGGCTGGAAGAGCAGACCCATGACAACACAGGCTTGTCTTGGGGACAGGCCTGTGGAGGCAGCTCCGGAACTCACCTCCCCAAGGTGCGAGTCCCCCAGCGGTCCTTTAGTCTCCGGGTTGGCAATTATGATCCGAACCCCAGGAAGAATCTGTTTGGGAGAGGAGAAAACTGTTGACGATCACTAGAGAGGCAGAGGGACAGACGAGCCCRCTGCCTCTTGAAGGCTCATTCAGAAAGCACCAGGGCATTATGTGAAGGGCATGTGCCACGATATTACGCTTTCAGTGTCGCGGTGCTACCACCACGTGTCTGTGAAGGGACCTTAGAAAGGAGTCTTGATCGTCAGTGAAGCTGAAATGAACCAAATCTGCTGAAAATCATGTAAAGAATTTTGAACCAAAACATGGTGAGGGATGTACACCCTTCAGGGCRGCCTGACACAGAGGGCTTTTCTGTTCTCTCTGGGGATTTCTTTATATTGACTTTAACATCAGAGCACACAGGCCATGCCTGTGGTCGGCCCTGACCTGGGGGGGGGCACAGCATGAGGTCATCGGGATGAGTGTGACATGGCTCTGGCCAGCAGCGCAGGAGCAGGCTGCTTCTGGGGTAGCTGGAAGTCAAAAGCTCTGGACCCTCCTGGAGAGCCTGGGGGTTCTGACCAGAAAGTCTGTGCTGACACCAGCTCTTCCCACTGCCCTCCAGCTCGGGCCGTAGGGAGCCCCTGCGGACCACCTTGTATCACAGGGAAGGGTGGCATCAAGCCTCTCTGCTCGGGGGACGCTGGGCTCAGCAGAGCTCCGAGCTCCCCGAGAGCAGTCTGCAGAACCTAAGGTCCACTCTTGCAATCTCAAGTGCAGCCTGCCTCCTCCAGMAACTCTCAGGTCACACCGTGGAGGCGGGGCAAGCCACCTCTGTGAAAACACGGGACCCGCCAGCCATCAGGCTGCACACAAAGTTTGACGGCCCTGTCTCTGAAGCTGTGTCTGCCACTGGGCAAGGACAGTGCCGAGCCCCCGCCATCGTTAGGACTGGCTTCGCAAGGTCTACCTTGAGTCACATAGACACAGATTCTGAAAGGTCCAGAGCAACACAAGATGCTTTCAGAATTATGCCAGTGAAGAAGGGTTCTGTCCATTGGGGCCAAAGAGAAAGCAGGTCTTCACTTAGGTAGAAATGTATACCGTGCCCTTTGGGTCTCTGAACGATCTGACTCCTGTGGCAGAACCTTCACAGCTGTCCCTGATACCCATTCTCCACCTCCTCCCACAGTTGTAGATACTGTGATTTACCCTGATTGAATTCAGATTTCAACACGATAGTTTACAACCTTCCTTTGAGCTAGGTCTGATTATGTGACTAAATTCTTGTCAATAGTGTGTAAGCCTAACACACATGCGGAACCTTTCTTGTAGACTGTACCATTCTGTTTACGTATTCTGTTTTTCCTCCTGCTATCTGGAACACAGGAATGATGGCTGGAGCTGCAGCAGCAATTTCAGATACACTTTTGGGAACAGAGATCATGCCTAGACAGAAGGCACAGGCCTCCTGGTCATTTCACAGAGCAATGGATGCCTATTTCCCAAGTTTTACAAGGGGTGGGTAGGGAACTTGTTTAATACATTATAATCTTGACTCTCTATACTCATGGCTATAAGTCCTGGTACATTGCTTTTAAGAAAATTTTTGGAAAAGAAATATTCTGGAAAACACACTCACACAGAGGTGTGGCCTTCCTCTCTCAATACTCACTTTTCCCGATTCCATCAAGGGCAAGCTGTGAGGAGATCCTCTTTCCACTAGCCGGACTCTGCAAAGGGAAACAGACAACATCACTCACTCAGTGGGTTTTCTGTACCACTGGCACCTTCTGCCGCCCAGGTTAAGGGGCGCTGATTCTGAGCATTAACCAACAGCAATGGCAGAACTCCTGACAGGACAGAGGGCCCCACAGCAGAGACCTGTGCTGTCAGGAATGTGGCGAGGACATCAGCAAAAGCCTCAGAAAGAGACCAGAGCACAGCTGCTGGATGTGGGAAGTCTGCACTTAATCCAGGTTCAACGTGGCATAYGCACCGAAAGGGGAAGAGTCAGGTTTAAGTGGCATTCTTAAAGAGCTGCCAATCACAAAGGGCAATGACACCTGGTCCTGGAGCACTCACGCTCTGCCCAGACGCGGGCCACACACGCTGGCCAGGTGGGGCCCATGGGCCACAGCAGCCCGAGGCACCTCCTTACCCAAGGCTGCGTTGGCCAATTGGGCAGAGAGCAAAACTCTCTAAATTAAAACATATTTAGGCTGGTTTGTGGCTCAGTGGTGGAGCGCTCGCCTAGGACGGTGAGGCACTGGGTTACATCCTCAGCACCGMATAAAAATAAAGTTATTGTGTCTCCCTACAACTAAAAACATATATATTAAAAGAAAAACTTAATGACGATTTATTAGTCCCAAGGACACTGCTGCAGAACCTGTCAGAGCCGGTCACACACCTCCCCAGGCCTGTGATTTAATACTTTGTCACCTTCACTGTTGATTTCACATTTTGCCACGGAACTAGGGGGCCATGGTGCTTATGTACGCCAAACAGGAAGAAGAAGAAAGCGGCCACACACACAGGACTGCAGAAGCCGGGATGGGCCTGCTGCACCTGGGGACGGGGTGGGAGGTGCTGCGGGCAGCAGGTTGGGGGCTCCCTGCAATGTCAGACCAAGAGGCCCTTCCTGCATCCCCTCCCTCACTCTCGTCTCCCTTTCCTCTGATGCTGATGGGGCTGGGGGTGGGGGGTGGGAAGAGCCAAGGAAGATCCCCAGGGCTGCGAGCCCTGCCAGGCCATGGAGAGCTGTGGAGGTGACAGTCCAGTAGGGGCAGCAGCAGGTGGGCGGGTGTCGTACCCTGCAGCTCTGGCTTGTAGCAAGGTGCCGGGTCGGTGGCACAGATGTCCCACACATGCCGGGCACCTGTGTGGCCACTGACCCAGGCGTGTGCTGAGAGCCTTGGGCAGCACAGCACACGGAGCATRTGCTGGTCTCTGTGGGCCGCTCCTGCTGGCCAAGGGCCTCCTGCAGTCAGGCCACCATCTCCCTCTGGCCTCTTAGCAACTGAGGAACTTCAGACCACAGGAGGCCTGGCCTCCCATCTAGCCTCCTGCAGCTGCTCCGGTCACTGCAGACTAAAGCCGCAGAAGAMGGGATCCTGGGAGGGCAGGGATGGGGACACCAACTTTCTTCTTCAGCAGGACGACACAGCGGAAGGCCAGAGGGGGCACTTGGGCTGCCTCAGCAGTCATGGGACAAGGTAGATATGGGTCAAATGACAGCCACCAAAATCTTTGGTACTGTCTTAAAAAAAAAAAAAAAAAAAAAAAACCCTTGATGCCAACAGCAAACTCAAGCGCTATGTAAACTATTCCAGAACACGCCAACGGGCTACTGAGGTTAACTTCAAAACCCATTTACTAGCAACACTGATGCAGAACTTAAGATCATCAGGATGAGTGGGCACTGAGCCGATGCAGGGTGGGCACCCTCGAAGCCCACCGCCAGCATGCTTCCAGAGAGCTACCGTGAACAACCAGCTCTGACAGAAGTCGGCCATGCCAGGGCACGAGATCAGAAGCTGGCACTTTCCAAAAGAAGGAATCACCGGTGCACTCCAACGGAGGCGGCTCTGCCCTGCTCATCTGGAGGTCTGTACTGCTGCCCTGCATTGTGCGGTCATTCAAGTGACCGAGCCAGGGTTCCATGGCTGGCTGGCTAACTGTGGATTCAGACCCTGGCGACTTGGTGGAGATAGCAATTGAGAATAGGGGCCAAACCAGCTGGGAAAATTGGCAGCCGGCAGGGGGTGAGGGTGAGCAGAGACAGCCAGAGGGAAGGATGAGAGCRTGAGGCCACCTCACCTCAGCATCTGGGGCTACTGCTGTCCAAGGTGGGAGGCAGGACATACACACCATGCAAAGGTCACATGACGAGATCAGGGAGTGGCCCTGAGCTTAAAATTTTTGAGGGCTGTTTTGGACGTGCCGTCTGTTTCTGTCACCCACTCTGCAGCACTGTATTCAGGTCCGCAGAACCCCTGCTAGGCCTGGGGTCAGAGGCACCTAGCAGCTCTGACAGCTGTGTCATTCCTGGGATGACTTCAGTCAGGGCACCACAGTCTCACCTAGGAGGCCCGGCTATTTGAGATAAGAACATGACAAGAGAATAGCCCTGGACTCTGTCAATGTCCAGGACTACAGGCCTTGGCCTCCTGGGTCTCTGCCCATCCCAGGGAGGGCAGGCAGGGAGCAAGGCRGAGGCTCTCCCTGCAGGCATATGGGCCAGGCCTGCCCTCTGCCCCTTTCGGATTTCTCTCTCCTGCCCTTCCCCTGGGTGACCCTCAGCCTCCCAGGAGACAGAGATGGAATCCCAGCTGAGACTTCGTCTGAAATGTGGGCTACACGGAGGGTCCCTGGTGCATAACTTCTTCTCTGTTCAGAACTGGAAGGTGCTTCTCTTCTATCACAGCAGGGGCAGGGCAGGGCGCTGGGATCTCTCAGGCTGCCCTGAGTGAAAAGCCCGAGGTCTCATCAGGCAAGGCCCCCCAAGGATCCCTCTAAAGACATGAACAACAAAAACACCCACAACCCAAGCATTCGCTGCCTCCCGAGTGAAGGAAAAGACACGTCTGAGAGCTGGAGCCGGGGCTGCAGCCCACACAGCCAAGGGCTGGTTTCCTCAAGGCCTACAGAACCCGCAGGGAGAAAGACGGCCAGGGAAGCGCCATGGACACAAGTGCTCTGCAGGGCAAAAGTGTGAGCCCCAGGAAGACCCAGGTCACCCTGCTTGACACAACCTCCTCGGCCCGGGATACAACTCCTAGGCTGTTGCGCATGCTGATTGAGCTGGGTACCCCGGATGACCACGGGGCTGCACCCACAGTGTGAGAGCTACAAATGACGCGAAGTGGTGGTGGCTCACATCTGCTCAGTTAGGACCAGTCCACCAGATGACACCAAGTCAGCCAGCTGACCCTGCAGAGCGGGCTGGCTGGAGTGAGGCTGGGAGGGAGAGAGGCATCTTGTCCTCACGGAGAGACCACACTGAGACAGAACTCTAGTGGAGGCCACCTCCTGTGGAGTGGCACACGCCTCCCTGGTAAAGCTGCGCAGTCTGTTTCGGACAGTCTAGGAGCCCATTCAACAGGTGCGGGAGCTGGACTTTGCTCCCACTTCTCTTGCTGCCTCCCATGTCCATGTCTGTAGCCGGACAGGCCCCAGGAGGTGAGCGCAACCCGTCTTGGCTGGGCGTCCTCTGAAGGGTGCACTGGCTGAGCCGAGTGCTTTTCACATGGAGACTGCAAAGCAACTCAGCTGGTGTCTGCATCAAGTCCGAAGCCTGGACCTGCGCCCCATCATCCTTCATTGAGTCAAGTATAATCCTGGTCTGGGAAATGTGTTCCCTGTCCTCGGCTGTTAAGCAGACTTGAAGTTTAACCTTTCATTACAGAAGGAGAGCACTGAGGGAGGTTGGCCATCAATTATGGGCTCTCACGCYCTCTCCTGGAACTGGCAACGAGCTGACCCCAGGTCGCCATGCTGTATTCCACTGAAAGGGACACCTTGGAGGCCAGAGCCAGCGGCTGGTGGCACAGCCTTGGGTGTGACAGGACACGAGGGCTCTGAGAGGATTTTTGGTACCCTTCACCCTTGTCATCACTGCCTTTGCCTGAGCAAAGCCACAGGGTCATGTTCCCTCCAGTCCTACCCAGTCATGTGAAGGATCACTCTTCCTCTAGGATTTTCACCAAAGGGGCAAGGAGCCATGTCGGAGCCCATGCAGAGGGATGCACACAGCCACCCTCCCCTGGGACCCTGGGCTCGCCGACCCCCACATGACTASTTATGTCCATCAAAACACTGGTTCTGAAGACATCTTAGTAACAATGACAAAGCAAAGCCACATGATGTGCCCAGCAAAGGAGGGTGGACACAGGACATGGTTGCTCCTGCCAGAGATGCAACCACTTCAGAATTACCAAAGGTGGGGCTGCTCAATGCTGCGTGGCACGAACGTGGTGTGGGGAGCACCCTGATGCAGACGGTCAGGAGAGTCAGGGGAGCCACCCTCCATGCTGCCAGCACTGCGACCCCTGTCCTCTGAACTAGAAGATGAACATCCTCTGCACCCGCTACCTCGAAAACCAGCACAACTCGAGCGGCCACAGGGGAGGGGGCAGGAGGGACCCAGACCAGCTAGTTGTGTAAAATGGAGCTGCTGTCTCACCACTGCTAGCATTTAAGGACAGGCTGCTGGAAAAACCAACCAAAACTTTTCATCAAAATTTTAAATCATATATTCCAAAAATAATGTGGAGCAGCTAAAATACTGAATATTATAAGATTGTTTGAACAAGTTTTTTAAAAATTCCCCTGAATGAAAAGGGAAATCCAACACTCAAAAACTCTTGGTTAATTAATATCAGTGCTATGACTAAACTTCATCCTCAGCTTCCTGGAAGCTGAAGCAGTACAAGAGGAGCAGAATCAGGCAAGTTTTCGTGTCAAAGTTTGGATCATAACATATTATTTTCTTTGCAACAAGCAATGCACATAAAGGATCACTGAAATCACAAAGAAAAAAAATCTGCAAATTTAGCACTAAGACATTGCATTCACACTCCCCCAAAACCACTTACAAGACAACAAAATACACCCAAAGCACTGTTATTTCTACAGGAAGGTTCTCCCAGGAATCAGGAAAACCTACACATTCCAGCATCGGATGACCTACAGTGGCCATTGCTAGACCAACAGGGAGCGGTTTCTAGCA